ATTCTTAAAAAGTACTTTAAACTGTATAAATACAATTGAAAGCGATTGACCAATCAGAAGAAAGTTATCCTATATACCCTTATGTCTGTATGTCAAGAAAATGATCTGCAAAATTTGGCTCAGAACCAATAAAAATTGCAGAATTTTGAAGATCTTCATGTAACGTAAACAAACACTAACCCTAACGTTTAAACAAAAAAAAACTGTAAAAATAACACAAAATTTTAAAATTTTACTAATACAACCAGCTATGTACTTCTAAATACAAATGCGTAGCATGAAATTTTACATATAGCAAAGCTGTTTTAAAATAAACAAAAAAGGGGGTATTATTATCGAAATTGTGTTTTGTATCGGAAGTAGATCATTTTCTTGACATAAGGAAATTTGTATTACTAACAACGTTTGGATCAGATATTTCAAGTAATTGATCTATAGCTCGGGCAATTCTCCATTCGTTATTTTGTAATACAAGTTCACAAATATCAGGATCCATATTAGGAAACATGGACCTAAGTGTCGCAAGTGAATACTGAAATTCTGCTTCAGAGAGTTTAGCAACTTCAGCCTGTACATCCATATTATCGTTAGAATCGTGCGTAAAATTTGAAGAGGCAATATGTTGTGAAGCATCTGATAATCGTCTTGGAGAAGTATTTATAGAGTCAATGTGTGAAGACTTATGAGGGGAAGTACTTAGTGATGAAGACTCTGAAGCTGAATTAACATCTGACGAAGAACTATTAACGTGACGACCTGATAGCTGTTCATTCATCTCATTGTTGAAGTCATTACTAATTTCGGAAAATATTCTTCCAACTATGTTCAATGGTTTTTGTATTGTCTTCTGAGCCAAAATACTCCCTTTTTCAAAAAGAGCTTTAGCTTGTGCTGGATTCAAAATTGGAGTTCTAACATGTAAAGCGTTTCTTGATGGATGCATCACATTATCATAACTAATTTCTCTATTATTTTCTTGTAATTTCGGACGTTCACGATCAATTTCTTTTACAGTTGCTTCAATATTTCTATAAAAAAAATCCATTTTACATTAAGTTTAGAAACAATCAAGAATTAATTAAAAAAAATATATATATATATTTAAGTAATAAATTTTATGTTGTAGATTAGACCTACGCTTCAAAATCTTCTTGTGTTATAGAAAGAGAAGAAGCATCCATATTTTCAATAAATGAAATTGCACCCATCTAAGATATTATAAATTGATTATTAATATGAACAAAAAAAATCGGATAATTCCCATGCAATAGACATACCAAACTTGAGAGATAATAACCCGCTTCAGATTGTAATTTTTCAGGATTTCGAAATCGATAAATGTATCTAAATAAACAAATAAATAAGTTAATCATATATAAGTTAATCTAGATTATTTAGAGAAAATTTAGATACTTACTGGACATTAGATACCAAGTTATCTGGGTTGGCTTTCAACACAACAAATATAAGGATAGGAAGAAATTTATCGGCACTTTCTTCCCCATCTACGTGCCTTATGAGGCCTATGTAAAATTATTATGTAAATGTTTCATTAGAAAGACAAACCTGAGCCCTACTTTAAGTCACAATAAGCATTCACGTCCTATTACTAACCAAAAATGACTTTACAACAATTAAGGATGCAAATAAGTTTATCTCGTGGTGCCTTGAAATAATTTATTTTTAATAATTCTAAAAAAATTATACAAATATATATATATATATTTATATATAAATAATTTAAAATGAAGAAAAAGAAAAAATGGTAAATGGGAATGAAATAGGGAAGTACCATTCTTTGCAAATTCAAAATATTGTTCATTATGATCAGCACGAGTTATATCTAAATGTTCTTCTTTCACCCAACGAAATATTTGAATTTTTTGATGTAAAATTTCGTCACGTTCTCTATCATCAGTTGTAACAGGGCCTTTGATGGCAGGGGAGAAAGTTCTAATAAAAAAAAAAAAAAAAAAAAAAAAAAAAAAAAAACTCAATAATAATCCAAAAAAAAATCCAAATAATATAAAATAGTACCTACAATTTATACAATCGATTCATAACCAGCTTTTCCATACCCTCTTTAGCATTTTCGAATTCAACATCGGTAGCGTTACGCCATAATTCACAGTCGCGCATTTTTAAAGATATAAACTGAACACAAGTACATAAGTAATTAATTATAAGTAATATTTAAGACAGAACTGAGAAATTTACAATATGTAAGCGAACATACTTCTAAAAAATCATGTATGATTCTGATTTGATCGTTAGCAGGCCAAGGTTTTTTTTCAAATTCCCGTTCAAAACTAATATATATATATATATATATAAATCAAAAATGAAATATTGAAAAGAACAAGCAACCAATAAAATATATAAAGAGAATTTTACTTTTTGACGTAACGTGCAATGTTTGTTGCACTTGGATTAGCCATTTGTTGAAGGAACCGATTAAAATCAAACTGTAAGTCTTGTTGAGGAGAAGGCTTTCTTTCTAAATTGTGTTGTTTTACAACACCTTCAACAGTGCTTCCAGTTCCAGTAGCTATTTCTCGTGAAGTGTAACTCTTACTTTTTCGATGACTGTAAGAGTCATCAGTTATCGAATCTAAATGAATATGAAAAGACAATTTTAACTTAGATTCTAAATATAAGAGAAAAAAAAAAAAAAAAAAAAAAAAAAAAAAAAAAAAAAGAAAGAATGAAGTTTCAATATCTACCGTCATTATTTTCCAGTATTGTATACGGTTGGCATTCTTCCTTTTCTTCAACAGTTTCAACAGTAGATATTGAGTCAACTGAAGGATTAGTTAATTCCATTCTGAAAGTTCAGTGAGAAAGTTTATCAGACAATGCTAATTTTGTACGATATCTAATTCGTTATCAATTCACGCATTTGTTGATCCATTAGTGTTCTTTATAATTTATACACGTTTAATAAGTGTGGTACGTTGGTGAAACTTTACTCGCGTATAAGAGCATAATCATGTGCTTGAAGTGTATATTTATTTCTTAGATCAATGTACTAACGCTAAGTGTTAAGCCGTTTCGATTTGTATAATGTAACTTACGTGCATAAAAAATAAAAAAAAACCAGTCATTTTAATCTCACGTGATAAGTATTTTTCGTATATATCACATGGTTAGTACTTTATAATGCTTTTGGGTGTGATAGAGGAATAATTTTTTTCAATTCATTCAATTCATTTTATATTATACATAATAAATAATTTTATACGCATTATATACATACGGTTAAAGGATAAGTAAATTGGTAAGTGAAACTAAATTGGTATATACGTTTTAACTATATATATACGATATTTCTATATATAACCTAAACCCATTCGCAAACCCATAAATATAGACGCACCCTAAAACCAAGCATACTCTAAGTACGTACGTACAGTACCGAATCCGATCAACAAAACTTAAATCTTATATATATTAAAATTCACATACCTTACTTCAAAAAGTCATGTCCAAGTTAACGTATGAGGTTAAAGTTAATTTTTTCTAGCATTCTCGAAGCTCGAATAATGTTTGTAATTTGGTCCTCAAAAGTACTTTATTATACATACCAGCAATTGATTTGCGTCTAAAAGTTTAACTACGTCGGACAAAAAATCGTCAGATCAGTTTATGATCATACATATTGATAAAATAATATAAATAAGACCACTTTCATATACCATAAGTCTGGCACCAATAAAAAATATTGATCAATCAGGAAAAAAATTATTTGACAGTGAATTACTACGTACACTACATCTTATACACATCTATACAGAAACATCAGCCGATCAATATGAGAGAATATCTCTTAAGAAGCAGCACGAAATCAAAATACAGATATCCTTGCAGAAAAAACGTAATACCAATAAATGATTGCAAAAATCTGGTATTTATTTATAAATTATCACTTAATTTGATACTCGTTAATTTGATACCATATTGCTAAAGGGATCTTACTCGTTTCAAATTTCGGTCCAACGAAATCAATTTTCAAACCTACCCAACATATATACTACAGATGTTATCAAATTTTCTTAAAGATTTGACGTAATTAGACTGTTCACATCATACGGGTGTAACACAAATTTGCTTACAAATTTCTGTTTTTAAAAGATTTTGGGTTAGTTTTGTTATTTTGTTATAATGATTATATATTTATATTCAAACAAAAGGATCCTGTGATATCCTTTAAAATAGCGATAACTATACGTAGTTAATTTTTTTCATCGATAATACAGATGTTGAAATATGCCACTAATAAAAACTTTACGGATATTCTATAGAATATAAGAAATAAGCTTCGCTAATGATTAGTAATCATTAATTTTTTAATAGCGGAGTTGCGGGGTTTGCGGAGTTTGCCCGCCTATTCTATAGAACATCCAACTTGTTGCCATAATTTTGTATCATAAATATTAAACCTTTCTATTTGTGAGCTACGACGTACAACATGTGTTGGATCGGATCGATATTAATCAAACGGGTTAATCCGAATGACCCGAAACCGAACCGTTATAATAAAGTTCTATATATATATACATCATGGCCTATACCGATACTGTACATTTAATTAATTTTATCATTACGTATGTACGTAGCAAAAAATTATCAGGTGATCTTAAAAATGCAAAAATATGTGGGTTACTTTATTGTACAAGCTGGTTGAAAATCTAAAATAAAACACTTCGGGCTTTCATTATTTATTATTTACCTGATTCAGCCCTGATCGCCAACATATATATGACACGTCGGTTTTCTTTTAGCGTTAGCGTTCTCGCATACTGTGTGTTGCCGATCAAAGTTCTCGGGTTAAGTTCGGTAAATAATAAATTTGAATTTAAATTTTCTAAACTGCCTATTGTAAAAGGTAATTCTTCTCCAAATCTAAAATTTGGCGTAACATAAAAAACTCTATCATTAAATCTAACCCTATAGTTAGTCAATCAGAGGGGTAGAAATTCTAAAGTACGCAGATCAGGATGGTATAGGTGAGCTGATCAGTACAGAGCTAATACAAATATCAGTATGGGGTGTAAAATACTGATACCAAATTTAAAATTCGTACGTACGTACGTACGTATGTACAGTAGCCAACAAAAGTAACGCCCGATTTTTGCTCAATATGGAAATTTTTTTATTAATAAAAAT